CCAACTCTCCAGCCTGTCCAGATCTCGCTGAGAAAAGTATGGTAAGAATTGCATTCCAAGCACTTTTATTGCAGTATTGCCACTATAATTTGTTTTCTTAATTTCTTCACCCTCCATATTGTGTATCTGATGATAAAAGGATGTAACACTAACTTTTCTTTCTTGAAGTTCATTTAATCAGATGCATGTTTCAGTGTATTTGTTTTATGGAGATATTAACTTACTTAAGAGGCTTATCTTCACACTAGAAAGGAGTATTTTTTTTTCTTAAGGAAGAAAGAACTCATCTAAAGTGAACTGTCAGCTTCTCATGGTGTTCCTTGAATTTGTTTTCAAGCCGTCTTTCTTGACAGGCGGGTACTTTGCTCCCGTCAGCAGAGGAAAACTCCATCAGAGATCTTCTCATTGCCCGTTGTGAAACGGCATCTTCAGGGTTCTCAAATGGTACTCTGCAAAAACAAAGGAAATGTGCATTACTTGAATGTTTCCAGACTACTTGGGAGCTAATTTACTAGACCCATTTACTGTGTAGAAGGTGAGGTTAGAAGTTGTAAGGACACTAACAGCGAAGATTTGAAAATTTGAGATGTTTGGAAGGCTTCCTTCGCTTTGCAAATTTAACCAAGCAAAGCAAAATGAGAAAAGGTCAGAATCACAGGACTCTAACAAAAGATCATGTCATAAATTATTTTAAATAAATTTACTTTAAAATTTTCACTGCTTTTTTCCCCCGAAAATGATATATGTTGTATATTTGTAATGCTCTGATTCAATGGAAATCATAAAACTAATGTTATGATTTCATAGTGATATGATACCCATTAATGCAAATGCACATTTATTTCAACAGGGATTTTTAAACTAGCCACCACACAAATATTCTTTCTCCAAGCTCTGAATCCAGAACACTGAGATTTTGGTGTTCAAGTATCCTGCCACAGCTACAGTCTGGGAGAGAAAAGTGGCAGACTCACTACATCCATGCAGAACTGATAAGACTTCCTGTTAGACCAAAACCTTTAAACTTTGGTCCAATATTAAAATTTGATCTTATGAGACCTTATTTCATGAAGATGTACAACACACACCTAATATAAACCATGTGAGTAGTTCCACCAAGTATAACACACTTTGACCTGAAAAGGAACCTTGCAAAGCCAAGCACCTACGTAAGACAGAATCACAGAATGGTTTAGGTTGGAAGGGACCTTAAAGATCATCCAGTCCAACCCCTGCCACTAGGCCAGGCTGCTCAAAGCCCTGTGCATCCATTCTATCAATGAGGGCAGTAACTCCACTGACAGCAGGTAAGAATTAGTTTCTAAACATAAATTAGCTTGATTGTAAAGAGCTATTCTCAAAGTGAACAGCTATATAAAATCAAAATGCTAAAAGATATCATTATATGTAGGGTTTTATTATTTCCTTTAATAAATTTTTCAAATCATTGCACATATAAGACTAGAAAGTAAAAATAAGCCTGATATCTAAAGTTTGTAAATTTACCTTCACAAAGATAGCATCTAAAAATGTCATCACATTAAACTGCAGCCTTTACATTGCCTCAATCCGGACACAGATATAATACAGATAAGTTTTAAGTTTATTTCTATGATTTTGAAACCAAAGAGAATACAAGTAGTATCCAGTACAGACCAAAAAAGTTTCATTCTACAAGTCATAATGTTTTCCAGAGAGTATGTAGTTTTGAACAGCCAGTCAGGAGACAGTTTTCTGGGCCATAATACAGAACAGCTATCCTGATGTTCTAATACTTAAAGCATGTTTTTTTCTAGTGATCAGTATTTGATCTTACAAATAAATAGCATTTTCATATATCCATTTCCAAATGTGGAATACCTTTTAATATTAAATTTCAGACAGCAGCGGGTAGGTTGTCTCATTAGAATAGCATAGAGTTGCAACTATGTTAAATACAAAGATCAGATGAAAGCTCATTTTTACTGGATCTTTTCCTCTGGTTAGGGTATTTTCTAATCACAAGAAGAGGAAATTAAGTAAATGCTTCAGAGATGCAAAAGAAAAAAAAAATCCAGAAGATTACTTACTTATTTGTGCTATTTCCAAATTCACAACCTATAACAAAAAGTTCAAATTAAGACATTAATAGCTGTACAGCGTTTTTATTAGCTAAGGATTACCATCCTGTTCCCAAATTACTTGCTCAAGTGAACTGAAAACTAGCAGATAATTTGAAATGTTCAAGATCATCTTTTACTAAATTACTGTGGAAACAAGTATCTGTTAGTTGGGGTTTTTTTAAAGTTTATGTAGTTCTTGTATTTTAACTCTAAAAATTATTTTTAACTCTAGAAGTTACTTTATATGCTATTAAATAATCATTAAAATATTATCATCTTGGAAAGCACGATTTTTTTAAAAAAGGAATCTGCTTACAAAACTAGGCCACACATGTAAAATTTAAAACACTATTTAGAAGAAAATACTTTATTCAAGAGATTATTTTATAAAAGCACTAGAGGGCAACAAAACTCTATGATGCTGATCACTGTCTGAGACTCAACCTAGAATTGTATGGAGATGTTTTTAATTAAATAAAACTAAACACTCACAAGACACATATTGAACAAGATTGAATTTTGTTTGTTCAGCTATCTTTAAAGACAATTCTGTAACGACAGGGAGTGACTGATCTCATTTGTCACAGTGCTTTTAGTAGGATTCATTTGTCGTCTGTTGCTGCTACTGCTGTTTACTTTATGAAGCAATTTGGTTGAGTTCCTAATGCATTTGTATTTTATTACTAAATCCGATAACTTTTTATCAGATGAATGAAAAGAACTTTTTTCTAATCCAAATCACCTAAAAATGTGTGCTTTTCTGTACATTATTATAAATACCTGAGCGTATCATCGGTCTTTTGGCTGGTTGAGTGCCTCTGCCAGATGCCACTGTAGTTCCTAGGGGTGTATTTATTCTCTTACCAAAAGCTATTGACTGCATGACACAAAACCTTTCATTGTTACACAGATGAACCGCTGATTCCCTTTCTCTTTGTGTAACTGCTGTTAAAAGGGATACAAAATTTTTAGTTTTTCTACCAACTAAAAAGCCTGGTATTATCTATCTGCATGCAGAAGGCGATGCACATTTTTTGTGCAGAGTTTCGTAAAAATAGCGGTGTAAATCTGCATAATTTCACAACTCAGAATGGGAACATGGAGTAAAACTTCGTAAGATGTTATGGTGAAGCCCTGTCCAGTAAAATAGGTTTTTCTTTTGAGTGCAGTAGGATCAGAAGTTTTAAACCAAGAAAGTAGAAAGCAAGACTTCCCATACCGCTTAAACAAGATCTATCGCAGAAGGCAGTAAAGATTTGGAGGTTTCTTTATGAATTGCAAAAACAAGTCCTAGGTTCAAGGACAGTTCAATTCTCATTGCTCAATTACAGACAAAACTGTAGGACTGCAATCAAAAGAAAAGCTTCAAATTTTCCTCTTTTGCACTTTAATTCAAAACTAACTTTAAATTTTAAACAAAAAGTTTGAGACTGCTAAGTCAAATAGGGGATTTGAACTTCGACGACATGAACTGCATAGCAATCTAGTAACTTCTGCTATGAAACAGAAGTGAGCTAAGGATTTAGAACAAGGAACTAACTCTGGCAGAAGCATTTTGAATTCAGGGAAGTGTTTTAAGTAATGGTGTCTAGGGGACCAATTAGGAAGGAACTGCAGTAGTCACGCCTGGAGGTAACAAGCATGAGCACATCTTCCGTAAAGGAGACAGCCAAGACTATGTGGTAATGTTCTACAGATGGTGAAGAAGCTATGTGATGTTAGAGAAATCGTTCACTAAATAGAAAGTCCAGGGTACGGCTCGATACAAATTAATGCCTCAAGTCTTAATCCAGGATTGATTATAGTACATTTAGGAGATTAGGTCCAGGAAGTTTTATGGAAGTGTTTCTAGAGCTGTAAATGCAACACATATTTTCCAGCACATTGAGCTTCAGTCATCACTCCCTAGTCAAAAATGATCATTACTAAAACAGCCTGCGAGACGTGCTAAGCACTGATGTAACACAAGACCAAATAGTCAAGAGACTGAGAGGTACTGGAGCAAGATGAATGGGAAAGCCAAAGGCCATGTGGTCAGATCCAGCAGCTCCTCATCAGCCCCTGCACAGGCTGTGGCCCATGCTACAGCTTTCCTTCATGACAGAGCTACAGAGTCTGCCAGCACCTGCAGATGTCCTGGGCCTGTCCTGCTCAAGTCCTGCATCCTGAGTCTCTGAGAGACCGGGAGCAGGTTTCAAGATTACTTTATTTCTCCTTGTTACTGTCTTACAAGGTAGAGCTGGGGTAGGAATCAACACCTTTCTCAGTGCTCTTCACTAATTTTCAGTCTTACTGCCAACCACATAGCTTTCCAAATGTGGAGTTCTTTGTGTAATTTATAGTAGAGAAGCTGTGAAAGATCTCTTGATGATTTATGAAGACTTATATTTGAAAGCTTGGTCAGCATGTACCTCATCACAAAGTATGCATATACATACTAAAACTGTACAGAAACATGTAGATAGCTGAAGATGTTATCCATAGCTAAATAAACATGCTCACCCATACGACTATACGTGTTTGAATGCACAAATGTAGGTACACATTTCTAAGCACAGGCTTTTATCTGTCTTACACAAAAATATATAGCCCAAAATACAAGATAAAAATACACCTTTTTAAAAAAAAAAGACAGAAATCAAAAGCATATGGCAAAGTAAACTGTTTATGCCAAGCAAACTCTATTTGCTTGACAAATCTTGCCAAAAAATGAGTAGCTGTTCATTAGATCTTTTGCTATATCAACAAATGCATGTAAAAGAACACACAAGATTAATTCACCTCTTTTTCCAAACTGATTAAAATCAAAAGCAACTGTCAATGCTTGGTGAGAAGAGGAAAGCAATACTTACGCTTCCTGTCAAGCAGTTGTACTGAAGGAAGGAAGTATATCACGTAAAGCCAGTAGTCTGGGTCTTGTGCCAGAGGGTTACGGAATAGGTCTGCAAAACATATACAGAAAAAACAGACATCACAAACCCCAAAAACAACTAACTAAGCAAGGCAGGAAAAATAAAGATCACTAGTAGCCAAAGATTTTATACAAAATATTATCAAATTGAGATTGTTCTTATGCTGAGTAAACAAAGCAGTCTCTTTATACATGCAAAACTACTCAACTAAGCACAGACTGCAAGAATTGGCTTATTGCAGAGTATGCAAAATACCACAGGAAACAACAGAGTAAAGGTGCCATCATGCACTCCATACCTTTGAAGTTTTTTTTTTCTATTTATTATGATATACAGACAAAACAATGAAGTATTTTATTTTCTTATGCATTGTTAGGTGAAGCCTATTTAAAATATTAGTAGTTTTTTAGGTGTCACACCTTAAAGGTAAGACAAAATTTGTAGGGGGAGAGAGTTATTAAAACCAGATGAGCTTTAGGACACCTACAGCTTTATCATAGCTGATAGGAAGTTTTTGTCCCATAGACACTATATAAAATGTAAATACCCAGTCTTCTGATATTTTGACAGATGATGAGGTTTAATAACTCAAGAAACTTAAGGAGTAAAATGTTTAAAAGGGCCTAAAATCCTGAGAACCTGGGTACCACTAACTTTCGTTAAGACTTGAGGCACTAAGCTCCAAAAACCCATTTGCAACTTGACTGAAATAATCACATTCAGGATCACATTCCCTGCATAACCAAACCTCTGCAATACAGACACAGGTACCAGTGCTGTGTTGCTGCTCTGCCAGATGTGGAACACTTGCCTAGCTGGCATGCCAGAGTGGTTTGTTTCATGAGAGGGATATCTGAGGAGGATTAAAATAGAAACTGGCTCATTCCCAGATCAGATTCCAGATGTATGTTTGGTTTTTGCAACACACAAACAAACAAGTCTTGTTGGGTGGGGGGTTTTTTCCTAAATGAAAAACATCATAATGCTGTTTTTCTCCTTACACAAATGTTGTTCTTCTGAGACAGTAAAAAGAGGAGGCTGCTACCTTGAGATCAGAGCAGAGACAAAAAAATCTTAAATTCATGATTTTGACAACTTCTACCAAGGTCTACAGTGGCCTGCTTTTCTCCTTTTGAGAAGAGGCTGTGGCTAATAGTCACTCTAGGGTAAAAAGTCCTGTTATATGTAACTTTAGCAGCTAGGGAGGGAAAGGTGGTATTACAGAAGCAAGTGAGAGATACAAGAAGAAAAAAACAAGTCTGGAAATATTCCACACAGATTCGTAAACTACAAGATGTCATCTGATGTTCTTCAGGGTAAGAATGACTGCCAAAGGAGGTTCAGTGGTTGATGCAATTGAGCAGTTATTTTGAGGGTGCAGTAAGGCTGGAATGGGCATTACATATCTCCCACACAGAAAACGCCTGTTCATGTAGTTCTCCTTCAGAGGAGAACTTGAAATATTTGTAACACATTTTTTAAAATCCCTGTACTTAGAGAGAGACCACAAGGTGGCAGCAAAAGAAAGTTCCATTTTAACGGAACGAAGTGGTATAGAGCTAATTTTTCTAGAAAGTGTTAATCAGAACGAAAATATATTAGGTATGTATCTGATAAGTCTGTTGTCGAGTCAAGAAAATATATGATAGCATTCCAGAGAGAAAAAACATTTCAGAAAGGTCTCTAAAAGCAGGTACATTTGGAAGTGGAATGGAATGAAGATTCAAGAGATTTCCCCAAGGCACAACCTGGAGTCAATACTAAGTACTTCTGAATCTGAACACTACTTGGAGCACTTCCCTCATCAGCAATGATTTGTAGGTTTGTTTCAGAGTACATGAATTTTTCTACTGCTTATTCTTACAGTAAATCCAGCCATTGCATGAATCAAGATGGTCCTATTTTACAAAACATCTGGGATCAATTCTTGGCTCTGCTATCTACTTTCTTGTCAAGGTCATGCAGTTTTACTTCTACAAATTAGGGATAATGCTTTCTTCCTCCACAGTTTTGTCTGTTTTCTCTATTTGCAGTGTAGGAAAACAGTGTGCCTAACCCACATGGGGCAGAAAAGAACTACTGTGGTAGAAACATACTGATGAACAAAAGGAGTTTTCTGAGGTCTAGCAGCGAGATGTTATCAGCTGTGGACAATAAATCAGTTAAGACAATTTACTGAGTACATAACAAAAATCTTGGATTCCAAAAGGGAGATGTGAGCACACGGTGAGCCCATAAAGAAACCCTCCCTATCTCCCAAAAGGCTGCGGTTGTGAGCAACCCACTCAGTAAATCTTTAGAGGCTGAGTGTCTTCCCTAAATGCCGGATGAAGAATGGTTTTATGCTACAAATCCAGTGCAGGGCAGTGGTTAAAAATCACAAGAGAGCCTTAAGGAAGAGAAACACAACATTTTGGCAGCTGGATGCTACTTCTGAAGTGAACAACAACAGTGTATTAGACTGCACCATATTAATAGTTCTAATGTCGCCAAGAGCTACAACATAATGAAATGTTATTATGCATCCAGAAGTTCTGTTGAAGGCTAGAAAGTGATTTTTTAAATTGGATTGTCCAGCAATAAAAAAGATCTACCTCCCAACAGTGAGAACCCTCCCATTTCCAAAACAGTTTTTATTTTATAAAGGTGAACTATGAGCACAGGCCTTTTCAAAGTTGCACAGTGCAAGCTCTGTACCCATTTCACATTTCTGAATATTGCAAGTAGGCAAATAAATTATATAGCAATATGATATGACATATAGGATATGACTTTGAAAATTGATTTTGTTCACTTACTGCTGCTGTCAATTACTTCAAATGTGATAATGCACTGTACTCAACCAGCAGAGTCCTGTTAATTTAAGAACTCATTAATACAAAATCTCTTTGAAACAAACACACTGACAATTTGTTCATGACTGCAAAGGTTAAAAAGAAATTACTGTAAAGTTAAGGTTATTAAGGTTATGACGTTTCTTCGACCGATTATTGTTTCCTATCTTTGAACTAAAGAACAATTTTTTATCAGGGTAGATTGGTACATTCTACATATTGCTGGATAATTCTCCTAAACACTTGCTTTTCTATGGTGGAGGCTAGTCCAATATGCACCCAATTTTCACTATTTCTTTGTGGCTGCCATTCATAATAACTCAGCAGCACCGTAACTATCTGCTATTTGTCTTTATTTCCCACAGATCGCTGCAACAAGTACAACAAACTTCCTGTGCTTGTTGAAGCTCCTTATTAATTGGAAAGGCTATAACATTAAATTCAAGTGACTGCACCATTCATACACAGGATGTCTGTCCAGACTTTTCCTAATCACTTCCAACAACTTCATTCTTAAATGGACTATTTTTTCAATCTTGCATATAATGAAAAAATTATAATAATTTGGCTGGCATGTTGTCTTCCTAAACACTTGATTTGCTTGTTAATTTTGGCCCAGTGTCAAGTTCAATTACAAGTGTACTTCTCAAGCCACATTTTCCTTTCCCACAATCATACATTAAATTTTCTGAGTGCATAAGGAGGTATGGCTTGATGACATTCACCTCCATTAGTTGCATTACTAAGACACAAAACTTGTTTCCTGTTTTCTCAAAGTACTCAGCGTTCGGCAATGACCTATGACAACTTTCTTTTAGGAACCAGGGAAGACGACTAGTTACACTTTCACTTTCAAGAGGTTAATAGCATATAATCCTGCTTTCCCTGGAGGCTAATTCTTACATTGTAACTTGGTGCCAACAGTGTCTTGTATAACTTACCTTGAAATTTCACAGCCTGTGCTACTTTCATTTCCAGCCAGTATATCAAAAGTATGCTACCTAAAGATATTGTTATACTTCATATCTAAAGTAGATTTATTCTTAGACTCTAGAAATCCACAGAGTCTGCCAAAAAGATGCAGAAAGTAAGTTCTATGAGCATCAGAATTAATGAGGCAGGAATTTGGGTTCTATAACCTATCACTCACACTCTCACAGCAATAACAGCCGCTTCTCAACTCCTTCACCTCTCTGATAATCCCATTATACTCCTATGTTCCCTTACAAAAAGGTAGCAGTAAACTTTTTTGACTGCTTCAAGCTACCCATCCAGGAGACTGGGTAGCCAGCAGCCAAACAGAGTTAACTTCTGAACTCATTTGGCAGTTTTTCCTTAGTTGAGGTACTCTCTGTGGAATTTTTGTGTCTTAGAGATTCCTTTCTTCTGTCAAATTTGGTTGAAATTAATAATTCGGTTCAAAAGCCACTGGCAAATGATACAGAAACAGACATGAAACATCCTGATAAGCAGCACTAAAAAATAAAATAAAAATAAGGTATTGCTTAGGGTCTGCAAGCTTATCATTCCTTTCAATTCCTTCACTGTTTCAACAAGTTTTTTTAACTGGTTGTTGTGAAGCAACAGAATCTGTAACGAACGTAAGTGTTTCAGAGCACCTGAAATAAAATGAAAAGCAATTAATTATTCTCATCATACCTGACTGCCTCTATTAGATAATTGCTTTGTTATGCTGCACACTTAATTTTATATTCTAGTTATCCACCTATTTCTAAAAAATTGTCAGAGATTTCAATAACCCTTTCATCTTTCTAGTCACATCCTTTGAACATATGCCCAACCTTTTTCATTGCAGTTCCTTCCATTGGTCCTCATCACCCTCGCCTCAGCAAACCATCAACTGCATCCTCTCTTCATCCTCCCTTCCTTCCTCCTATATCCCAGTCATCTTTGATTAATTTGTCTTCACTTCCTTCTACCCTTATCTAACACTACCTTTTCCTCATAAACAGTAAATAGTGAACTCCTTAGGAAATAGTTCTGTTTCAAATAATTATTAATGTATTAAAAAGTTATTACAAAATATTGTTGTGGCTGACCCAGACTACATGTTCACATACTCACATCACATCAGGCTTAGACATCTCATTTTCCAAATTCTAAACAGTATTTCTCACGCACATTTCTCTACCAATGATACTTGCCCTTCCGTTTACCCATATTTTGTCATCTGCTGCATTGCCTCTTGTGCCCACAAGTTTCTTTTTTTTGAACATTCATTTTTCCTAAAGTCTCACAGAAACTTATCAACAATATTTCTCATCACAATACTTTATAGGGACAGAGAAAATTAAAATATTAACATTTAAAATGTCTAAAATATACGCAAATATCTTATGCTTTGGGCTGTCCATTCAAAAGTTCACTATCCTGGTACAGCCACTTTAATCTACAAGAGCAAGCAAAACTGAAATAGTAGTGTAAGACAGATGCAATTTTAAAATAAAAGAGTTTTGTAATAGTTTTGCAAAATACTTTTGATTTTAAATGTAACTATATCATGAAGAAACTGCAGAACCCTAGTGAATACTCTCGAAGTAGGACACCTTATTAATTTATTACCCTTTTATTTTCATTTAAAGTCTGTCAGCACTATTAGTTTTTTATCATATAAACAGAAATGGCTCTCCAAAGATACTTCTATCAGCTTACAGAGTGTCTGGTCAGCCGGAGGACTATAAATCATCATGTAACAAGAACTCTGCATGTTCATTTTCAATATGAAATATGGCCTTGTTAGATCAAAAATATTTTACAATTGCCTAACATTAAAGTGCATGACATTTCATCCCTTAGACCAGGATAAACATATCGCCTTATTGCCACTCAAGTGTGCTGGAACAATCAAATCTCTAAGAAAATAATTACCATGTACTGTTATGAACACATAGGAGCTTTCAACAATGAAGTTACCTGCTGTCATCCACTTTAATAAATTCAAATGCCAATACACAGAAAAGAAAGTATAGGCCTCTGCTCAACAACCTCAAAAGGGAAGACTGGTACCTGATATATCTGTCAGTTCATTATGGTTGAGATAGAGTTCAGTCAAGCAATGGTTTCTCACCAAGAAAGTTAAATCTTGGATCTGAAATCAGAGTTAGGAAAACTGCTGCATGTCAGTCTAAATTTAACTTTGCAGAAGTATAAACATGACCTCTTGAAAACTGTTTAACTGTGGGTAGTTTCTTATATTTCTGTTTAAGACTCTTGGTTGACAGATTCTCTTGACAGCTGAACCTTCATTAGAAATACTGATTACACACCAAATACATGTAGCACAGCCTTTCCTAATTTTTAACTAAAATTGTAATAGTTCAATATTAAGATTTAGCACATTTCATTAAACTACTTGTCTTCACATTTTTTTACTTCTGTTCACATCTGAAATAGTTTTTGTTGTGAGGACATCCTTGTAGCACATAAAAACTCTATGCTGATTTAAGAACACTCCTGAAATATATCCTTGGAATAAGTCTAGCACCTAGTTTTTAATTTATTTCTTCATCAGCAGGTCTAAAGAGCATATATTTGTTCTAAATTTCCAAACATAACATTTAGTCAGATTTACAGAATCAATTGTACAATTGTATGTATGGGCATATTCCCAATAAAGAGTTATCTTCAGTCCCTATGATATCTTATCCACTTGCTTGGAGAAGCTCAGTTCTAGTATTTGACCTGACTATTATTAATCTTGGCTGCAGTGCAAGGTACAATATATGCAATGGGATAAATTAAAAATTATTCATTAGCTTGACAAATATATACTACTTTATGTTAGAAAAACTACAAGGAATACTTTACTACCTTATTGTTGCTAATCCACAAATACTTCAATCTACGAAACTGCGACAGACTTGGGATACTGCTTAGTCCTCTGGTGGAAATTGGAAAAAAAAAAAAGGTAAAAGATTGTTAATATTAATGGTACTTAATCACTTTATAAATGGATGAATTTTTTAGAAATAATATTACACAAGCACTAAAAAAACACATTTCTGTAGAAATAATAGCAGAGAAAGACACAAAGAACAAGATGGCAGAGACAGTGTAAGCATTCTACACACCTGAAAGCATTAACAAAGCAGCAGGTGATAGAGAAATAGGAACAAACTAAGTGATACAGTATTTTTTTCTCACAACAGCATTTGTTTTCCCAGGGAGTACAAGTCCCATGTACTTTGCAGTTTGCAGAAACTACTCAGAACAGAGGAAAACTTTGACATCCTGGGGACAAAAGCCTAAAAGCAAAATTTCCCATCTATGTACATTTCTTATTATTTTTCACATTAGTGCATATTGTGAAATCTTTTGCGCCTTTTTTCACCTCTCTCCTCTCCTGTCCTCATATAAATTTAGTATTTATTCATATTTGTGAACAGTCTTGTTTTAAATCAAACTGCACATCCTCTGAGGCTGGAACTATCTCCCATGTGCTGCTAGGATTTTTTGTTTAACTGTGTTTCTAGCACTTTGAGCTTGCTACTGTACTACAAATAACAAATTACCTACTAGCCAGAGAATATTACTGAGCTGCTGAGTAATTTTCACTAATTGTTCCTCCTAATTTTTCACTGCCTTAAATAAATGTTCTTGATTTCCTCTAGAATAATTATAGGTGCTCTTTACATGATAAATTTTAATTAACTTAATAAAACTTTCCTTGTGGATTTTAACATGTTGCAAGACTAGGGCTAGTATTTCAGAAAGAACTATCAGTGTTGATAAAACTGAACCTCACATCATCAGCCTAAAATGATCTGCCTGTTTTCCAGCTGTGAAGCCTAGTCTCTAGTTTCTCATGTTGGTTTGGTTTTTTATCAACAAACTCTCCAGATACAAAGGGGGAGCGGGCACCTTTTCTGATCGTGCATTTGAAAAAAAAAAGATCTGTCAAGAGCAAACCCTACAAAGTTGAAGTGCTGCACTTTTATTCTGCTGTATTTCTGAAAATCAGCTTACCTTATGCTGCTATTTTGTTAAACTGTTTGGCTTCCTCAACTCATAAAAATGAACCCTGCAAATACATCTTTATGTGTCCATTGCCACAAGTAACCAGAAAAGAGATTACTGCAAATAAAGACAAGTGGACGAGTGCTGACAGGACGTACAGAACTCTTACAGAGCCACTATCTAATTCCTCTCTATAGTTCTACCTGTACACTCCCAAACTATTTTTCAGGTAGCAAAACTAAAATGTCCTTATACTTTTTGTCACTGCCATCCTTTAGTTTACAGTTTTACATTTTCATTGGCTTCGCTCCCTCTCTAGTAGCAGCCTCATCTTAACTATCTCCAAGTCTTGATCTGTTGGCTTGTTGTTTAAGGTTGTTGGGTTAGTTTTTTTCTGGTATTAAGGCATTTAATTTGCCGAAGGTAGAGCTTAATTCCTCTAATGTTTAAAAGAGCCTGTCCCTTTCTGTATGCCTTTCAGACTTTGCATGTCTCTTACAAACTGATCCTTTTTGGCCTGCAGCAGTCTTTTCCTACCTACTGCTAAGTTAATCAGTTTTCCTAGGATGACAGCTTTCAGAGTCCAAAAGCACATTTTTTTCATGTCCCTTTAATAGTAGTGGTTTAAAAAGATAAACTCATTCCCTCTTACTTGATTGACTTTAACTGTTGTTTTGTCATTTTCTTATTTCAGTCAGCAGAAAATTATGTCAAACCAACAGTTAGGAGGCATGATCTGATACAGAGATTGGCTGAGGTTCAAGGTTTATACAAATTGGTACAGAATAAAAGGAATTCACGTCTCTCCAACCATCAAAGACAACGGTCTGCATCATCTTTCTCAAAATGGTTTCATGGGAAGACAGATCACTTCTATATCTGCAACCTGAGCATTTCTTTTTATTCCATACCAAAACATATTTCAACGCCAGTAAGCTTCTCCCTTAGATTTTATGTTTTCTTCATATTTCAAAACATACATTTTCTACATATTTTAAAATTTTAACAGTAACTATATGTTTTACAGTTTCTTTTCACAAAGTCTCAAATACTTTCTTGGTGTAAATCAGGAGATGTGGTAAGGAATTTAAAGATAACAGTGGGCACATTTAGACTTTCAAGACCACCTGATTTCCACTAAAAACAGGCTAGATAACACTGACATCCCTTAACACCTCTTGTTTTTACATTCATAGAACCTAGAGACCTTGAAAACCTTGTCCTTGAATTATTAAACTACATAGTTTTTTATACATGATATGAAGCGTGTAAACACTAGATGCAGTTGTGAGGCTGCAGACAGGTATGCAACACTTGGAACTATGCCCTGGCCAAAAATCCAAAGTATGTTTTCCAAAAACTTTGAAGTATATTTCGCATATCTACCTTTCTATGGCAGCCTCTCAGCATGTTCATCCTACAACATACACCTCTATCAACCTAGATCACCCACAGGTTCATGAAAGCTTTGCCTTCCTTCACGTAGCAATGTTTCTTCTCATCTGCCCTACGTCTTCTGCTGTTTCACAAAGCTCTCAGAGATCAGTTCTCTGATCAGCACTGCCAGCCCCAGACAAGTGTTCTTTTGCTTGTACTCACTTCATGCTGCCCTGCCCTCCTTCAGTTCTTAACAGTAGAGATGCAGATAATTTCAAAGGTGCTACCAATGAGTTTTACTGTTGCAGTAACAGATTTCTTCAGGGAGGTCAGAAATTTGGCAGTTCTTAGACTGGGCAGGTCCTGTGTTTGTCATCTTGATACTCTTTCCACTCAGCCTCAGGAGCCAGTTAGAACAGGCAGAGATCAGCCCATTACTCCTCACTCCTCTGCTTCCTGTGGCTGTAGTTCATGCACAGTCCTGTGAACTTACAGACCCTCGAGCAATTCTGGGTTGCTAGAGAAGGATTGTGTATCTAGCACTGAGGCAGTTAACTCCTTCACTGTGAACAGAGCTCTGCTATGTATGTCAGTATATCCTCACCATTTCTCCATAGACAACATGTATGGACTAGGTATAAATACGATTTACTGGTATTTCACATATAAATCATGTTTAGAGAGTATGTAATACAGAAAGCACTATGAAAGGTTACCATTAACTGTGTGCTCTGCTTTTAGTAAAAGCTAGAGAAACAGATTTTACTTACTGTCCAGCCAGATACAATATTAAGACATCCACATTCCTCTTAAAGCCACAGATCTTCAGCTGTTTCTCTATTGCCTGACAGGATACAGTACATTTGTCAGCGTAATATACTGCATAATTATAGATTCATTACAACATACGCATATTCAGTGTCTAAAGTAATATGCACACCAAAATTAATATATGCATCACAGCACCTCAAAAATTATAACACAGTCCAAGAAAGATAGAGATATTAAATTAGCAGCCTATATTTTAAATTGATAAAAATACTCCAACCATTATGTTACGCTTATGTTAATTTCCTTTTCAAGTAATTTTTCATTACTTGAAAAAGTAATGTCTGCTGACTGGAGAGTGGGCTTCTTACTCAGGTCAGCCAACCCAGGATAGGTGGTCAACAAGAAAACTGCTTACCATGCAATACAGTTGCAACTTTATGCAACTTTCCTTTATGCACACAATGTTTTAAAATCATGCATCTGTAAAATTCTGCTTGGACATTTAATTTTGAAAAATGTATTACTGATGCGCTGTAATTTGTAAAAGCAATGAATCCTAGCAACCTAAGGATTATGTATCTCAGTTACTAGCGGTTGATGGTCTAGTGGTTGATGGTCTATCAGAAAAATGGCTTTAGTACCATTTAGTACTAGTTTGCTAACCATGAGTTATGAAGCCCAACATCATAAGGGTCGATTCTGGTGGTACTGGCAGTGGGCACCAGCCGCCTGCTCCACACCGCTGATACTGGGACAGTGGCCGTTTGCCCAGGAACGCAATACGGCCAGCAGCCTGACTGCAGCTGTCAGGTAGCGTCCGGGACAAATGGCCGGTTTTTTCTTTCTACACAGACAAAATCCACAGATGGAGCAAGAGGTGCTATTTGGAGAAATGCAGCTGTGCGACCACCTCAGGCATGTTGATGTCTGCCCCAAGGTCCGCAGAAGGTGTGCGGCTGCCAGACGTATCGATGGGGCACACACACCTACCGCGGGAACAGAAATCCCAGGTGCTGCGTTTCACGGTCACACTCACGGAGACTGTGCCCCAAGATGTGTATTTCTCAAACGTCATTATTTGACATCGCCTCATCCCCTCCCCGCCCACTCCTTCCCAGTCAGCCCCGGCTCTCCACCACAGCGGCCCGAGGCCCC